TTGCACCTCCTACGCGTCACAATTGCCTCATCACAAACCAGTTCATTCGATCCCACGGTTCATGGTAGTTAGTTACGGGGAAGCAACACCTGAGTGAAGCTTCTCACCTAGAGTTTTCCACCCCATTTACTTTTCAAAGTCTTGCTTACAAATCGTAGATTGTAGAGATTTCAACAAACAACAATCCGCTAGATAATGTTTAAAACAATCAAAGTAGCGGTACATGGGCCGGCCGGGGTTGATATTTAACCATACTTGCCATATATTATCGCATCCATCTAAGGTTTATACTTGGGCCCTAGGTGGGATTTTATTGTGGTAGTCAGACCGAGTCAGAGAGGGTTGCTGTGCAGGGCATCGACAGGGTTAAGAGATGAGGTGAGAATGCCGAGGGAGTGGGCGACGAAGCCGGACTTGCCGACGCCGGAGGAGTAAAGAGTGTCGGCGAAAGAGACCGCCTGCATCGAGGCGGCAGAAGAAGTAGTACGGTGGAGGAGGATTTCTTTTCCTTTTTCTTTTATTTAATTTCCTTTATTGAGTTAAAATATAAATAAAATTTTATATTTAATTATTTGACTCACTAATTCATTTGCCACGTTAGAGTCAACTAACGGTTGACCAGATGGAAAGTTAATGGTGTGGCTAATAAATTAGTTTTCAAAAGGTTTGGCTATTATATTGTTTAAAACAAAAGGTTTGGCTAATAAATTGTGTTTACCCGAAAAGAAATGAACCCTTCCAAAGCAGCAACTAGTAAAGTGACCCTAAACTCTATAGAGAAAGTAAGCTAACTGTTGTCTTAATACAGTGACAATGCTTTAAGCACTACTTTATAGGCAGTTAGTTTTGCAGCTTTCTAGACTATCCTAAAAACTATTCAAATAAAAAGGGCAGATCCAATGTTATAGTGGGTTCCAGGACTCCTTGCGAAGTTGACGAACTGCCACAAGAAAATCACCTTCCAAGACAAAAAGAGGATGTTTTCTAGAAACATCAACTGACGAGGAGGCTCTAGCAGCAAGCAGTTATGGCAAAGCATGGGAATTGCACCATGTTGCATTTAACTATCCCTCTCTACCATTTTACTCCTCCAACAACACATCAAAAACGGTTAATAACCAGTGGTAGAGCCAATGTTGTAGGTGGGTTCCGAGACCTACTAACACTACCTAACTACACTTCTCAACCAATGGCTAAGTATAATCATCAATTGGGTGCAATATAGGCTAAGTAAGTTTAGGACACTAAGTCTACTAGTACGCGGTGAACTAATCGTTATCTACATAACAAGATGTAGTTTGGATTAAACAAATAAACATGCACATCAAAACAATAATGACTCAAATTCAATTGAGTGAAGATTACTCGAGTGTGCTTCTCTCTATCCATAAGTTATGTCGATGTTGATTTTCCCTATATTGCCCACTCTAAATTTATACTGCGAAGAGCCCTAAACTAGTTGACCTCCCTATTCAAGTTATCCAAAACCACTTAGATGAACTACCCGGAGGTAGAGTGTCCACAACCGACATGGAATACCTAAGTCATGCAATTTGACCCCCCACTAAAGGATCTCGATCTAATACGACATTGTAGCTAATATCACACTCGTTCAATTGAACCACAATGAATAATTGAAGATGCTCTAATCAACCTAATTATATATTCTCTCTATTAGGCCAAAAGCTCAAATTGGAGAGTGTAACAAGCACGTGAGTCATTCAATATCAAAACAGAACATAGATGGCTAGAAATCTACACAGACAAGTGAGAATGGGACGCACTCCATAGTGAGGGAAAGATGAAAACGCAAAATCAAGAAGATAAATCATCTTGTGGGATGAGTTCTTGTTCTTGAGCTATAATCTTCAATCCTAGATGATGAATCATCACTTTCTCTCTATATAAGGGTGCAACTCTCATTGATCTTCCCTCTGGCCTTGACATTAATGCTCTGAACCATTATGACCTTCTTGTCCCGATTTCGACTCCAAATGGTTCATTAATCTTCCTTCTCCGATTCACATGCTAGGATATGAAATATACTAAACCAAGCAAAATCTAGCATGAAATAGGTTAATGAATGAAAAATATCAAGCCCAAATCACCCACATTGGTGTAGGAGAAACATGTGTAAATATGAATACAATTGTTAAGTGTTGGTGAATTTGAACCATACATTTCATTGATACAAGAAATAATTGTACCACTAAACCACAACTAAACAATAACCATAGCTTATCTCCACATATATATACAATACATTCGAATTTAAACATAAATACTATTAAAACAAAATGAAGTATTCTTCAGATCTCAAATTCTCAATTGTGTTCATCTTCTTTCTACAAAATCCTCCTACAATTGAAACTTGGTAGCTTTTTTTTTATTCGAGTTTCTGATAATGTTACCTAGATTTGAAATCTCAACTACATGATTACATATCTTGTGAAAATAAATTCGAGGTTTTCTAGAACTACATATCATTTTTTAGTCATTTAGGATCAAGGTCATTGAAAGAAGCATTTAGCTACCAACATCCACTACACGTGTAGAAAGAACATTAACATTGAGCTCCGTGAAACACACACTTCAATATTGAATGAGTGATAAAATCATTAATGATTGTTGATTTGATATATTGAGATTGTTAACATATCATTGTGTCTTACAAGTTTTACAAAACACGAGACTACATGGCGAGACAAAAGTCTAAAATTATTTTAAAAATTATTATTCTGAAAAAAATTAGACCCACCTAAACGAAACCCTAGCTACGACATTAAGAGTGAACAAAAAAAAATCCTAAGCTGTACTCTCTTTGTGAGGCAAATCAATTTGTGGATGCTTTAGTAGAACTTGCACAATACTCTATGAAAGAGCAGCTTCGACCTAACACTCCTTTGAATGCGCTGCAGCTAGTTATTGATGATAGGACATGCAGACTCTTTTTTAGAAGTTGACTTGTTCATGTTTTCCTAGTACTTTTGTATTTCATTGTATCTTTTTATTTACGTTGTACGACAAAAAATCATTGTTATCCATAATTAACACCTCGATATATAGTAATGCTAATGCATAGAAGATAAAACTGAAATAGCTTTTACGAATATGATTTTTCAATACAGAATGAAATGAATCATGCCTTATTTAAGAATAAGTTGAATGGGGAGTTTATTTTTTATTTAATGAAGTAAGATGAGAGCAACCCTTAATTCAATTTCACTCTCTATTTTGGTTACGACAAAGAAAGAGAGCATTTTCCAAGTCTTTTGTGAGTATTTGGGAAGGAGGATAATTGAGATCGCATGCGGCAGGGGATGGTTATACTCAATTCTGGCAGAGAGGTCATCCTTGCTAAGGGGGTTCACTTCCCGTGTCTGGATGATCCAGTGATGGTGGAAGCTTTGGCCCTTCGGGAGGCGATTGGCTGGTGTTTGGCCAATGGGTTCACTGCCATGAGGTTTGAAGGTGACGCCCAGGTGATAATTGAGAAGATTCGGCGGAGGGATACTCGGGATAGTAGTATAGGAGTCATCCTGGAGGAGATAGTGAATTTTTTTGATTCCAACATAGGGTTGACTGTGCGATTTGTAGGTCGGCGGAACAATAGGGTAGCTCATTTGGTAGCTAGACAGGCCCTGTCTTTGTCCCCGACTGCTTGTCGTTTGTTTGATTTCCAGGCCTGGCTGTATTCCAGGATGTAACGATCTATTGATTTCAATCTATTGATTTCAATCTATTGATTATCTTTTGTCAAAAAAAAAAAATTGGGAAGGAGGATGATAAATCCAAAACTTTTGCTGAAAGTTATACCATTACCACACACTCGCTACTCACTCGTTGTTCTACACTTGTCCTTATTTCGTTTTTAGGTTTTACAAACAAAATCAGAAGCCACTTAAACTGAGATCAACTATTCTTTTTCTTACTTGAATTGCGGTGGAGAGTAATGGAAAAATAGTAAAAATAAAAATTAAACCTAAAATGACACCGAACAATAAAAGCTCCTTTGTCATCACTCAAAGAAGATATTTGTATGGTTGCTTTTTTGTCCTTCTTTTTCTTTGATTCCCCTTTTCTCCACCCAATAAAAGGTAGAGCAATTGATTATTTCTTGTATACATTGGCTATGAGAATTCCTCGTTGGAATGTTTGTATAAATAAACTTTATAATCTAATTAATTAGTGATCTCTTTGGATAAATTGGGGTGGTCTTTTAGTTGGGAAAATGCAAAATTTTGCATAGACATGTCAAACAAGAAAAACTCAGCTTTTTTACTCTGATGAGTTACATCCTCTTCCACCTTCAGGTCTCTATTGTAATACTCTACTCACACTGTGATCCTTTTAGCTGAATCGAAAATGAATTTGGTTACACTACAAACAAAAGAATTATTAAAAAAAAGAAGAAAAAATAACAAAGCAGGAACCATTTAGAATTTGGAACTTATTGAAAAGGAGATATATATTCCTAGGACGGATCCCCTATTATATAGCTTTCCGAAGCTTTTTATAAGAAGAAAAAATGGAGAACAATTCTATAGCTACAGTTATATAGAAAACAGAATGCAGATTGCTTATACTTCATAAACAAACAAAATGAAACAATTTCGCTATTTGATCTTTCTTTCCTTCTTTTTCCTCTGTTTTACCACTATGCAATGACACCTCTTGGATCTAACTCAAAAGGAGGGAACTACTGAAACCAAACAAACCATTCTTCTTCTCCTCCTCCTCCTCCTCCTCCTCCTCCGTAAATGCCCAAAAAATTGGAAAGATTTCTTGGTACCCGAAGCTTTGCTACTGTAAACTTGTTCTGTCTGTCTGTACACTCTGCCATTACCAACATCACAGGAAATGTTTCTGACCCATTTTCTGAAGAAACCAAGTTCCAAACCAAAGCTTTCATCTTTACATTCATTCAGTTTTTTTGTATCCCCACCTTCTCAGAATTTGCGTTGGTTCATGAAGGTTGTTGTTTGATTCTTTAAATTTGATTACCATGTCACAAACCCATTATTAGCTTGTTGTTGATGATGGTGCTGTTCTTCTTCCACAGGGGCTGGAAGGTTAAGATCAATGAGTCCAACTTGCTGCTTGATAACCACAGTTGCATCATCAGCTGCTCCAACAAAATGGGACCTCTTGTGCCCTCCCAAGGCTTGACCTGACTTGAACACCTTTGAGCAAAATGGACACTCATGGGTTTTGACCTTTTTAGCCGCTGCTGCCGAGGATAAGAACTTGCTGCTCTTTCCTAGAGGGTTCTTTCCTCCACCGTTGCTTGACTTAATCACCTTCTTACCACTAGGAATGGTCTCATTCTCAAAGCTGTTCTCTCCACTCTCATACAAACTGTCATCTCTGCCTCTCTTGTGATGAATGTTGCTTCTCCTTTGTTGTTGAAGTGCCATTGCACTAGAAGATCCAACAATTTTGGTTGAGCTTTTTTTCCTCGAATCATATATTGTCCCATCTTGCTCGACCATTTCCTTCACTCCTAACCCACTGATTCTCTTCCCTTTCCCATCATCATAGCTCTCATCAAACCCTGAATGAATTCTACCAAACCTTGCAGTGGAACCATGAAAGGAAACTACCTCCGATTCAACAACCTTCTTAGGACCATAATTGAAGTAGTCGGAATCAGAATTCGTAGAATCATATCCACCACCATCATCATCATTCTCAGAAGAAATCACAACCTGCCTTGGTTGATGTTGCTTCTTCTTTCTAGCTATCTTCATATCCATAAAGCTATTGTCGTCGTCATCATCACCGCCTCCATCATCATCTTCGTCATAGCAACTCGAACCGTTATTGTTATTGTTGCTCTTCACCCTGATCCTCATCTTAGTAAGGCAAGAAGACTTGGCTTCCAAAACCACTGAGTTATTGTCAGAAGAATCACCAACATAGCTCAAACAACCTTTAATGCCAGAGTCCTTTGACAACATCATCAAACACCTAGCTACTTCTTCTTGCTCTTGCTCTAGACCAGAGGCCATGGATGAGAAAGAACCGGAGCCATTCCTAGAAGGAGGGGCAGTACTAGCAGCAACAATAGCAGGAGAAGCAGTATTAGTAGAGGAAGAATTATACAGACCAACATTTTTGTACCTCATCATTCTTTTGGATCTCCTTCTCTTGCTTGGAGTTGAAGTCTCAGTATCAGACTGATAATCCATCACTAAATCCTTAAGCTTGTCGCTCGTATCAGACTGATCGTCGTAGTTATAGTTCCTTGAGTGACAAGCCATGTGACCACACAATGCCTTGAGAGATTGAAAACCTTTACCACATTCTTTGCAAATCTTATCCTGGAGTGACAAGCCAGGATTATTGACATTACCTTCAAACCTTCTGGTTTTCTTTGGGTTCTCCCTAAGAATGTAACCTCCAGCTTCCGTTGAAGAATCCTTCTTGTTCATGTTGAGCTTAGTTGCTTCATCATCGACATCATCAGTTGAATAATTGGAATTCTGATGGATCCTGATATGGCCTCCCAACGACTTCCCACAGGGGTACCTCTTGTTGCAGAACTTGCAAACAAACTTCTTCTTCTGATTTGGCTCCATGATCTCTTTGGCGCTAGGAATATGCTCTTCTTGTTTGTTCCAAACCCAAAACTGGCCTTGATGGAAAAGAAATATTAACAGAGAAGAAGGAACAAAGATTGCCAGCAACAGCTGAAGCTCAAAACTGCAAGCCCCAAAATTGCATGCAGGACAATGCAACAAGCATAAATCCAGATCAAAGGGAAATTGATGCAAAAGAGAAAACAGATCACGAAGCTTATAGTTGATTTTCCCTACTATTCTGCGATCGAATCAGAGAAAAAGAAAACAAGGAAAAAGAGTTTTTTTTTTAGATGTAACTCAGATTTTTTCTCTCTCGTTTGTTGAACAGTACAAAATAAGAAGAAAGATCAGACTTACCAAACTGATAAAAGGAAAAAGAAGCATTCACTACTTTGCCTTGAGAATCCTTTATTATTATTTTGCTCAACTCCACAATCTATTCAGCTCTCTCTTTCTTCTTAACTGAAATCCAAAAAAAAAAGAAATTAATGCTCTCCTCTTTTTATGCTCCCCTATATTAGACTGTTTCAATGTCGAGCTGTTACTTAACGCCAAACAAACAAAAAATAAGACCAATTAAACCGAATTAAAAGCTGAAGGAAGAGAGAAAACAAAAAACCCAAAAAAATGAAGCAACCCAAGATCGAAGATTGTAACTTGATGCAAAAATGGAGATAGGTTTTTTTTTTTATGAAACCAAGAAAATCCAAATGTTGAGACTTTGGGATGGGGGAAATCGACTAATGGAGCGAAGAAAGGTGGAGCTGGGGTGGCTTGGTTTCTTTTAACTCGAATAGAACTATATTTAACTAAGAGAAGAGAAGCAGAGATGTAAAAGAGATCAGAGCTAACCTGAATATAGTGTTTGGTTTTTGTTGGGTTTAGTGCGAAGGAGAGAGAGAGAGAGAGATATTGGTGAGAACGAGTTGTAGTTAGAGGAGAACTCCATGCATGGAAAGGCTACACACTAAAAGTGAACATTAAATAATGTTCCAAACAGGAAAAAGGAGAGGGATAGAGAGACAAAGGATTAGCTGCAAACGTCAAAGTGTAAAATTGGCTTTTGGGAGAAGCAGAGAGAGCCATTTGGACGATTAGAATTTTTGCAATTTGTTGTTTTCCCTTTCTTTTAGCAAGTTAATTTTAGATTATGCAATGAGTTGCTCGCATCATTACTTATTATTCAAGATTTGAGAGTGTGAGTGAGAAATTTTATTTTTCTAAGCTCAAATGAGTGATAGGAGGGAGAGGAGAGGTTCTCTAACACTTTGAGTAAGTTCAATTAAGAGATTTATGAGCTATAAGAGATAATCAAACTTTAACTGATAAGGCACGTTTTGGGAGAAAATGAAGTTCTTATAAGAACTTTGAATCTAAACATGCTTGGGGCGGAATGGTACAGAAATGGGTAAACTTCATGTAATGCAAAAAAGAAAAAACCCCGAGACAGGGTGGTAAAAAACGAACAAATATCTTGTCAGAAATGGGTTCAGATGTTAATTGTTCTCTGGCATTCTAATGATGAAAATTAACCAAACTAACACTCAAGTGTAAGATGGGTGGGGTGGTGGGGGAGCCATTCGTTTCATATTTATTTTGGGATGCATTCAAGTTTGTCTTTCTTTTTACCTCGAACGATCACATTAATTAAAAGGATAAAAGGCACAAACACCCTGTACTGTAGTCTCAGATACAATTTACTGTGCGCCAAGATACGATTTCCTATTCATTTAGACCTAATTTTCCTATTCACCTGACACTGTACAGTGTTCCTTCCTTTTTGGCGAGGGGTCCGTAGAGAGAAATCGATGGGAGGCTCTTCCGATCAGTTCCTCTTTTTACTGGCGATGGGACAATTTGTTGCCTGCTCTGTGTTTCTGGTTAGCTTTTGGGTGGTCCTTGAGCTTGCACGTTGGTCACCAATTCTCTTGCCTGACTCATAGTACGACCGCGGGGGCAAATTTGGGTTGGCGGTGCCTCTGGTTGGCTGGTTACGCCCCAATGACGTGGCTAATTTGGACCTCGATGATGTTCGCGTTGGTCCTGGGGATGCTTTTGTGAGGTTGACGTTCCTGCCAGAGACGATTTTTCTGACATCGATTTGCTGATTCAGCCTGGGGAACTGAGGCTTTTGGGTGTTGTTTGGGTGGAAGGTTGCTTTTGCGGTTTGCCTGTGATTGATGTAGCCGCCGAGTGTTTCAGCCATACTTATCCAGCTTGCATATTTTCTGGTGTTGTAATCATTTCATTCTATTTAATGAGGAAAGCCACGTCATTGGGGTGTGCGAAAATCGATGCTTGAGTCGTGGGTTTTGCGAAGAATAGCTGGGTCATTTAGGGGGAGGGGTTCATTATTTAGGGGACTTGCAAAGTTGCTATCGCTTGGGATTTACTCTGCTTCTGTTCTCGGTTATCTCTTGGTTTTTGTCTTGCTCGTGCTTGCTCGTGATATCCTTTGTTGTGGGTTTTGATGGATTCGACACTTTTGTGCAACCTGAGAGGGACCAGCCGCGATGTAACTCTTCGATTGCGCCTGCTTCACATGTGGCTTGCTAAAACGCCCTCGGGTTCAAGGATTTTCAACCATTGCTGCTTGTGGGTTGATCAGACGGTGAGTGACGATTGCATTCTTCGTTGTAGTTGTTGCATTTGGTTGCCTAAGCTTTACAGTTGGGTGTTTCGCCCATGTGTTTACCATTTAGTGTTTTTTGTTTTCTTTCTGCCAAGAGCTTTATGGGGTAATTTGTTTGGGTTGTTGCGGTAGTGTGTTGTGGATCCCGTAACCTTTTTATTCCCACCGTTCAATCCCACCTCCCTTTTCTTTGTGTTTCACATGTATGCACTAATTTTGGGTGCTTTTCGTTTCTTTGATTTAAGCGTTCTTTGTGGTATGTTGTGTGTGCATGTGCAGGGGATGCTGATCCAGTCTCTTTCTGATCCTGAGATGGCTGCTGATACAGAATGCTCTCTTCGTGTTGGCTGCATCTATATCATCAGCCGGTTTGGCCTTCAGTCGTCAAGGCCCAAGGGGTCTCTATCGAGCTTGCTCTTTTGATCTGACTATTAAAGTGACGAGGTCAACTGGGTTTCAGCAATGTACTCTTCCTGCTGCTGGATTTCCTGCTGATTCTTTTGAGGTTATGGTGCATAGCCACCTGCACACAAGAAGTGGCAATCATGATATTCTCACAGGTGCTCTCTTTTAAGCGTGCTTTGGCCATTAAGGGTTCTTATGTGGTTGGTTGTGTTTTCACTAATGCCATGTTTTCCTGTCTTCCTGATGTATGTTTGTGTCTTTGTTTCCTGAAGATGTTATTGGCCGATTGCATTCCATTGGCGGCATCAGTCATCAAGTTACCGAGTTTGGCCCCACGCCTAAACAAACCTTGGTGCTTGAGAATCATTCGGATGTTTATAGTGGTGCTCCTTGCTTTCAACTGTTAAGCTTCTTGATCTATGCTTTGTGTCCTGACTTGGTATAATACTAAATTTCTCAGGGGTGAAACAGTTGCTGTCACGCTTTGGAATGAGTTAACGACAGTTCTTGATCATGCTGCCTGAATTCAGGCAGATTTAATTGAACCTATTATAATTGCTGTTGGGAGCCTTATGGTCTCTTTGGTGAATGGTATGATGTGTATTTGCGTTCATGTCAAAATTCCTCCTTCACTATGCATTGAGGGCTGTCAGGCTTTTCAGCTTGGTTTATGTTTTCTTTGCTTGGACGTAATTCTATGTTTTTGGGTTTCTTATAGGAAGTTATGTGTGCTCCAGTTCGTCAGCTACTAGGCTGGCTGTTAATCCACAGATTCAGGAAGCAATTCATCTGGCCACTCAGTTTGTTTTTTTGTAAAGTGAGAATGTTCTTCACTTTTGTCGATCACTCTTTTTGTTTAGTTTTGATTCTGAACCTAATTCATATATATAAACTCTGTTGCTAACTTTAGATTCCTTCACACATTTTTTCTGCAACTAATGTATGGAGATGATTTTGTTTTTTTACGAGGGATCTTTTGTGTTGTTATAAATCTCCACTGAGATTGTCTATGCTTTCTAAGTTGCCTGTAATTATTTGGCAGGCTTCAGTTCGCTACTTTTTATATGGCAATTAACTTGGTTTTTGTGGTTTCTTTCTTGACAATGTTTGATTTGACAATGATTTCCTACTTTCTTGACACAATTATTAACAACAAACAAATCTTATTGTTGTTGTAGGTGAGCTGCATAGTTCCCCTGATAATCGTGGACAAGGAAGGTTTCATTAGTAGATTGAGACTTATTTTTTTAAGGTTTAGTGGTGTTTATTAATTAGCAAATTGAAAACATGTAAACTTTTTGTACTAATTATGCTGCTGAGCTATTTCTTGGTGAAACCTCAACTTTCAAAGTGTAATGCTTAATGCTCCTGTTACTTGGAGAATAAAATGAAAATATGTTTTTGGTTTGGACACTTATAACTTATTACTATGTGTCCATGTGATATCAATTAATTAGTTTAGTTTTTTTTTATGAACTAAAAAATAACCCATGTTTTTGGTTTGGACACTTATAACTTATTACTATGTGTCCATGTGATATCAATTAATTAGTTTAGTTTTTTTTATGAACTAAAAAATAACCCATATCCCGTCGCGGAGCGCGGGTAAGAAAACTAGTTTAACTTAATTTGTCTATTATATCATAATTAACTAGTATTTCATTGATTTCTTGTCAGAACTTTGTAAAGAATTTGCATCCAAAGTAACATATGATAATTTGGTGTCTCAGTTGCTGCGGTATATACTACATGTGATGTGATAAAGTTGTAGATAGATAATAAATTATACAAATAAAGAGAGGTAGAATTAGGGAATGGGTTACCCTGGTTACTTCTTTTTAAGTAATCACTTGGCTACCTTTTTTTTGTCCATACAGATCATGTGGATCCAATCTGAGGGCCCATCTTGTTGAAGGGTGTTTCAGAACGCACCACCGGATCATCCCTTCACTTGACGTCATTATTGGGGCCGAAATTAGTGGAATCTTTCTTTTTCCCACGCTTCCCCTTCTTTATCGTTTTCCTTATCACCGCTGCTACCAAGAAGCCTTTTACGTTTAGCAGAAGCTTTTTCACCGCCCCTTGCTATTCTAGTTGTTCTCTTTGGGCGCCAAAATCATTTTCTTCGAGCAGGCGACTGGTTGTTTCTCAGTTGGTGGATCATCAAGGTTTTTGACAACTGTCTTTCGTTTCCCGGTCCTCCCACTCTGACGAAACACGGCGCACCGGCGAGGTTGATTTCAGCTCCTCCGACATCCCTGTTTCGTTTTCCAACGCAATCGACATAAATGGTAGTCGGATCTTGGCTCGACAGCTCATCTCAGTGGTGAGAAATTGGTCAAAGGTTGGTCCCCGCTAGAACCCTAATCGTCAAATTTAAACTAGGTGTAATATCGTGCTTTATGGTATATGTTTTGTGGTATATGTTAGTCCCCGCTAGAACCCTAATCGTATATATTTGGGGTAAGGTTTTGTGTGCAATGGTATTAATTTTGTTTTTTGTTTCTGTGTGGTCGTGTTCATTGATTTGTTGTGGACTAGTATGTAATTGGAACGTGCAATGGTATTGGTCAAGATAGTTTGCAGTGGTATTTGATCTTGGTGGCGTTATACTTGTATGTTTATGCTATTTTTGTGAGATTTTTATGCATTGGTAGTGATCTACCAATTCTTTGGGTTGGCTGCCGACATGTGATGTTTTCTGTGGAATGGTAGTGTTCATTAGGTATGGGTGTAATGGTAGTCTTCTTTTTCATGCAATAGTATTAGTTAGCTTTTTATGCATTGGTATTGGTTCATCCCTTCTACAATGGTATTGAATAATGTGAGATTTGTATGCGTTGGTAGTAGTGATGGCAGTGGGGCGGGGCAGGGTGGGTACCTCAATACCCATACCTCGCCCCATGCTACTATAGGGCAGGTCGGGTAATACCCGCACAGGTACATGGCGGGGCGAGTCGACCCACTCTTACACGTTATTTGAAAATAATACACGCAAAATTTTACATTTTACGATAAAATGAAGGGGAAAACACTGTATGAATGAAAATAGTGATAATAGAATAGGTAATTGAGTCTAACTACTTGAAAAATCAAGTCTAATTAGTTGAAAAAGCCAAAATAGGAACAATATGAATAGAGACTGAAAGAAATTGTGAAACAATGGGTCAAGAACGGGGCGAGGCAGAGCGGGTCAAAAGTAGATACCCATGCCCCGCCCCATCGCAGGTCAGGTCTGGTAATTCCCAGCAGGATGGGTTCAAATTTCCATCCCTAATTGGTAGTGATCTACCAATTCGTTTGTTGTCTGCCGACATGTGATGTTTTGGTGTGGAATGGTAGCGTTCATTTAAATTTGAGAAATTGTAGTGTTCCTTTTTTATGCAATGATAATGGTTAGCTTTTTATACATTGGTATTCATTTACAATAGTAATGTATTTTATGTTTCCATTTCACGGTTTTAGGTAAGGCAAGAACCAAGAACTCCAATCGTAGAGATTCAAAAAGCAAGAATCATGTGAACTATATAAGTCGTCACATGCAAGTTGGAGGTGGTCAAACCTCTCTCGTCGCTCGAGCTATTGCGAAGGAGGTTAAGAGCAAATCTAAATTACTTGGCAAGAAATTTAGCCCCGCAGGGATAATATCAATTGTCGAGGATGAGATATCGAAAGCAAGGACAATAATGTCAATTGTCGAGACTGTTTTGAACTATTCTTTGTTGCATCGTGCTCCAAAGTATAACTGTTTTGGTTCTTAAAGATATTTAAACTTTTGAATCTGTTCTCCAATCTAATATTCAAAAAACTTTTGGTTCTTAAAGAAATTGTAGTAATTTATCGTTTATCCGGTAACGGATATTCAAAAAAGTTTACCAATCTAATATCAATTAAACCACTAAAATATGAGCCATTCACAATAACGATTCATATTCTTGTTCGATTATGATAAAATTCATTTTTCCCCTTGAAGAAAGACGGAAAACACTAGGAAAATCAAAATTTCTCCTCCCTTCATTTTAGGGGTGGGCAATGGATGGGTTGGGTGGATTTTGGTCTCAAATTGACTCACCCGCTTACTAGGGAGTTGGAATAATTGTGACCCGCAATCCATCCACATTCTTTCGCGGGTTGGGTGGGTGGCGGATAGGTGCGGTTGGGTCGTGGGTCAACCTACAAAAGCAATTCTTCAACTAGCCATAAAAAAAGTTTACTAGCATTTATAATAAGTTCATAGCAAATTAGTAAGAGTGTACCAATTTAAACACTTCTCACTTTGTCTCAAGTGAATTCATGTGGTATTTGCATCAAAATTTTGAAGTATATGGTCAGATTGTAGTGCGGTTCGAAAATATGATAAATATTTGATACTATAAGAAACAATATTTTTTTCATGCGAGTGACCCGCAATCCACCCACCACCCACCCACATAAGGGAAAAAATCCCAAAGTACACTAGTTTTTAAAAAAAATTCCCAAAATACATAAGTTATAAAAAAATTTCCAAAAGTACACATGTTTGAGCATCACCGTTTTAGACAAAAACGGTGAAGGTCATCACCGCTTTTGACCAAGACGGTGAATACTTCACCGTTTCAAACTAAAACGGTGAAGGGTTCACCGCGTTTGTTAAGAACGGTGAATACTTCACCGTTTTAAACAAAAACGGTGAAGCCTTCATTTGAATTCCAAGTATTTTGATAAATCTAAATGGTTCTCCTCGTCGATACGATCGCGCTGCCGAAAACGGCTCGTCATTTCGACCTCAAACGAATAAGATACGCGCGTTTTAGTTTTTAGTACGCAAAAGTTACTTTAACGACATGTGCAGCTTTGAACTCACTTATCTCACTCGTTTGGACTCGGAATTGAGATCTGTAAAATTCTATGTGATCGTGGTTGATTTTCCCAACCTTTTTGTGTTGAGGGAAGATAATGATTCTTGATAAAATGATCCAGAATATTCATTCGACAACTTAAGTGCGTAGGATAGTTTTTAGACAATGCAAACTCAAATAACAACACCTAAAAATCACAAAAACAACATTGATAGTTCACTACAATGATAAAATGATAAATTCACTCATTTGCTTCATTTTGGCCCCTATCTCCACCTCTTCCTCCTCGTCCTCCACGACGTCCTCGACCCCTTCTTCCCCCCTCCGCCACTGCTTCTTGGCGGGCTCGCTCAACGGCTGGTCGCGGATTTCTCTTGACCCGAGCCCCAACTGGGGTTACATATGGTGGTGGTGGTGGCTGAGTTGGACCGGTAGCTTGACGAATGATCGGGGGGTTCGGAGTTTGTTGTTGCGGATGTTGGAATTGAGAGAACCCATGATGTTGTTGCATATGGTTCTCTCAATTCCAACATCCGCAACAACAAACTCGTGGAGGACGAGGAGGAAGAGGTGGAGATGGGGGCCAAAATGAAGCAAATGATTGAATTTATCGTTTTATCATTGTAGTGAACTATCAATGTTGTTTTTGTGATTTTTAGGTGTTGTTATTTGAGTTTGCATTGTCTAAAAACTATCCTACGCACTTAAGTTGTCGAATGAATATTCTGGATCATTTTATCAAGAATCATTATCTTCCCTCAACACAAAAAGGTTGGGAAAATCAACCACGATCACATAGAATTTTACAGATCTCAATTCCGAGTCCAAACGAGTGAGATAAGTGAGTTCAAAGCTGCACATGTCGTTAAAGTAACTTTTGCGTACTAAAAACTAAAACGCGCGTATCTTATTCGTTTGAGGTCGAAATGACGAGCCGTTTTCGGCAGCGCGATCGTATCGACGAGGAGAACCATTTAGAGTTATCAAAATACTTGGAATTCAAATGAAGGCTTCACCGTTTTTGTTTAAAACGGTGAAGTATTCACCGTTCTTAACAAACGCGGTGAACCCTTCACCGTTTTAGTTTGAAACGGTGAAGTATTCACCGTCTTGGTCAAAAGCGGTGATGACCTTCACCGTTTTTGTCTAAAACGGTGATGCTCAAACATGTGTACTTTTGGAATTTTTTTTATAACTTATGTATTTTGGGAAATTTTTTTAAAAACTAGTGTACTTTGGGATTTTTTCCCCCACATAAGTGCGGGTGGGAGATTTATTCATCCACAATCCATCCATATCAATCACACACTACTTGCGATTATTTGCGGGTGAATCGATATCAATCCGAGGACTAACCAGCCCACCCCTACTTCATTCGATCATGTCCCTTCTTTCCCTGTTCCCGTTTCTCTCCGTGTCAGGCTTGCCTTCCACCTGTTTGATCAATTTCATCAACTGACATTAACAGCAACAGAAAACCCCATTCAAGAAACTCGGAACTCAAATGTCCTACTATTTTTACCCCTTCCTTCCCCAACCATCAAAATTCTCTGCCTTTCGGCCTTCTCTTCGCTCTCCATGCATCTGTAAACTTCTCAAATCGTCAAAAAACATAGCTGCACATTAATCCCAATACCGGAAAAATATCGCCTCTCCTGATTGGGGTTTCTCAGGTCCGTCGATTCAAGAAACGAAGTTCGAATCTTGGGCTCGAATTGTGTTCTGGGTTCGTGAAAAATGTTCGGTTTCATGAAATCGAATCAGGCCGCCAATGGCGACGCGGCAAAGCAAGAGCCTCCGCCGAAGAGAACGGCTTCGGAGCCCGTGCTGATGAATGTCCCGGACGAGGACTCCGACGACGAGCAGCAATGGCGGAAGAAGCCCTCGGGGGCGGCGAAGAAGAAGTACGAAAATGGGTTCAAGGATTCAGGAGGGCTGGAGAACCAGAGCGTTCAGGAGCTGGAGAATTACGCGGTGTATAAAGCAGAGGACACAACTAATTCTGTGAATAACTGTCTTAGGATTGCAGAGGACATTAGATCGGATGCCTCCAAGACTCTCGATATGTTGCATGCTCAAGGTGACCAAATTCAACGAACCCACGAAATGGCTGTTGACATGGACAAAGATTTGAGCAAGGTAAGGGCCTTTCTCTGCCTCTTCTCACAAATGATAGCATGAAATTTGAGAATGGAACTTTATACTACAGTGGATAATCTAATGGAGAGCTTTTGCTGTTTGTAAATGGAAGAGAGACACTGACAATTGTTGGTAATTGCTTAAAACTCAGGGTGAGAAACTTTTAAACAGTCTTGGTGGGATGTTCTCCAAGCCATGGAAGCCAAAGAAAACCAAGGAGATCAATGGCCCTGTGATCACAGAAGGTTTTCTATATTCACTACACTTGCGATTTTTGCCTGCATAGTACCTATATTAATATTGTGCTCTTACTGGCTTTATGTGGCTCTACATCAGATAAAACATCAAGAAAGAATGCAAATCACAGGGCACAAAGAGAGAAGCTGGGGATAGGGAACAAACCAGGAGCCAAATCAGCACCTGTAACACCTCCTCCTGAGCCATCAAATGCCATGCAGAAAATTGAGGTTAGCTCTCTCTCATTTTCACCTCTCTTTCTTTGATATTCAGTTACTTGTCTCTTCTCAATTGGCGAGCTTCTGAGCTAAACATATGGGATTACTCAACACACAGATGGAGAAGGCAAAGCAAGATGATGGACTTTCAGATTTGAGCGATATCTTGGGTGATTTGAAAGGCATGGCGGTTGACATGGGCTCTGAACTTGACAGGTCATTTCTCATTTCTCAACAGGACCTTGATATAATCTGGTTAACTTATCAAAAACCTGTTGAACAGAAACTGTGGTTTGCTCTTCGTTGCAGGCAAAATAAAGCCTTGGATCATCTTGGTGATGATGTTGATGAACTCAACTCTCGAGTCAAAGGAGCAAACCAACGTGCCCGTCATTTGCTTTCCAAATAAGACAGTTTCTACTACGAGCCATCATTCATCTTCTTGCAGTCCCCCAAATTGGGAAATTTTCCTTGTTTTTCTTTTCTTCTTCTTTTTTTGTCTCTGTAAATTCTTCCTTCCTTCAGAAAGTGTGTATATGTATGTATATAGTTTGATCGTCTCTTACAAGATGGCAATATACTAAAATATCGTTCTTTCATTAACTCGTTCCACATGTATGGCTATACAATGATACTAAACATGAAGAATCGGTAAATGAAACAAAAAGGATAGTGCAGCTATTCTGTTATGGATGTAACAATATACAGACATCCTCCTTCCCCGTTTATTCTACAAGGGAGTAAGTAAACAACAAAATCAATACTCAGAAACAATCATCATATGCTTACCTCGTATACCATCCGTATAATCATATCTTGTTAGTACAATCGTTGAATCAAACTTTCCCTATCTACTTCCAGTCTTCCATGAGGACGACTATCTACAGAACTCGCAGAGAGTTGCAGGAGAGTAACAGCAGCAATACTACCAAAACCCTCTGGATAACCTGCAATAGCTGGACTCGCGTTCATGACAACAAGATTCCAGTATTGCGCAAAAGCCATCATTATATAGTACTCTCATGTCTCCTCACTTTTCACAGGAGTCCACTCGCCTTTTGGAGGATTCTGTTTCCTGGCATGCGAAATGAACCCAACAATGTAGCCAACGAAAGCTCCCAGGACAAGGATGCTAGCACCCTTCACATACTTTGATACCATCGATTCCCCTGCTCCTGCTGCCGGAGCTTTGCTTCCCACGCCAACACTGTCTTTGACAGCATCTGTCTGATCATCATTCCCACTGATCACTTCACCCGACGCAAGAATCTCCACTGTGTCATGCACTTGCCCATCGTGGTTCCCAACGTAAGACAGTGTGAGCTTCTCCCTCGTAGCAAACAATCTCGTATACCCAAACTCCCCTCCTCTATACATCGATCTCTCAGGTTGTGGGAAAACCGGCATATCAGGGTGATCCGGTCTAGGTTCCCAAATCGATTGCCAATCTTGACCTGCCATCCCAATCACTACATGAACTGGAAGCTTCTCCCCACATTTGAAGTTATTCATAGGACAAAACCTCTCATACCTATGCACATGACCCCACAAAGCCATGGTCACATTGTTGCTCACAAGTAGTGGTTCCAAATGATCTTGCAATTTCTGCCTCGTCGGTGCATCTCTAACCTCGTAGCTCGTTGTGTACATCGGCCTGTGCCCTTGGAGAACAACGAAAGGTGTCTTGGTCCGGTTGACCGATTCAAGATCCTTTTTTATGTACTCGTACTGCGGACTCCCTCGGAGGAAGTTTGTTTCGGTTGATATGTAAACAAAATGAACGGTCCCAAAATCGAAAGAGTAGTAAAGGTTTCGAGTTGGTGGTGCTCGCATTCCAGTTGGTTCTGAAGAGTTTCCAGGCATGTTGAATTTCAAGCTGTAAGGAACACCGCACTCACCACCTCCGTCAGTTCCATAGCTTCCATAAGACCAATCAGGCCTCCATGGCTGTGCCGGCCAGTCATACTCGTGATTGCCAATGCAAACATGGTAGGGCAATTTGGATGCAATGGGTTCAATTTGAGTGAAGAAATGGTCCCATATCCAGGAGTAGCCCTTAGCATAGCTTATATCGCCAATGTGAGAGACGAAAGCAGGCTTATCACCAAGAGACTCCATGTCGCGAAGGATCCAGTTTACTGTTGATATGGATTCAGGTTGCGTTCGGACGAATGTTGCATATGGCGCAGAGGTCCCCATGTCTCCAAACAGGAAAGCTCTCGTCTCGTTGGAGTCTTCGTCCCTTGACACAAAGGTTTGAGTTGCACTCCAGCCCTTTGAGTCACTCCCAACCTGTGAAGACCATTGAAGAGCAGTTCATACGGATTCAACAATCATCATCAATCCAGGGTTCACAAATCAGACAAAAAAAAAAAAACATTTAAAGCTTCAAAGGATCATATGCACAATGAGAACCCAAAACTTGATTGAGTTAGGCAAAACGAACTTTCAGTTCCAGTATATCTGAGCTGCACAAAAGGTTAACTCAAATCTCCCAAATTCATGGTCTAAATTGAGCAAACAGGTTTCACATTCGGCTATGTTAACGAAGGTGAAGATCAACACTAAGATAAAGGAAACCCAATTCGAGATACATCGAAGAAAGGGGAAAATTGTGATTCACCTGATAATAGTATCTGAAACCTTTCTTCAAATTCGTCATGACCCCATCATAAATCCACCCAGGATCTCTCCACCCAACGGCGTTATTCGCCGGCCAATCACACATATCCTCCCGCTCGTACCTGGCCACACGCGCAGCCGCCTCCTGAACCCACTGACCGTCCTTCTCCCCCCACCTGACCTTCCTTGCCTCTCCGTCTCCGGCGACAAACATCACCCTCATCTCATCCACTGCGTCGGTAAAAGCCAAGTGGATCTGCTCCGGCCCATTCCTTGACCCGAACTCGACTATGTGTTCGGACTCCGCCAGCAGATGCTTCGTGCCCGGGAGGGGATTCTGGTCGTGGTCGTGGCGTTTGACATTGATCTCGCTCTCCTTCCAGCGGAAGATTCTGAAGGAGTAGTTGGATCGGAGGTTTGTGATGGGTATGGAGAGGGAACCCGACCCGGATTCCCAACCGGGGGAGGACGAGAGGAACTTGTACCCGATGAAGTGGTCGGGGCGGGTGTCAGGCGGGGAGTATATTCCGACCCAATCGAGTTTGGAAGGAGAGTCGACATTGGACCAGGACACGGTGACGACGTCGCCGGAGCGGTTGAGGAGGGTCGGAGTGACGGAGATCCTGGGTTTCGCGAGGGCGACGCCGGCGAGAAGGGAGAAGAAGAGGAAGAAGATTAAGTTATCCCGATTCATCGTCGTCGCCGGCGGGAGAATGTTCGGGGACGGGGAAAGGCGGGTACGTGGCGATCGAAGATGATGATAGGTCGAGTTTGATTAATCTGGGATAAAAGGATTTTTGGAGTCAGATATATATTTTTGTTTGTATCAGCTGGTGGTTGTTTTTTCCTTTTGAGTGATTCCTACGTTCTTTCTTGTGACCTAACCTGTCAAAGAAAATAGCAGTCATTAGTTAATTAAATTAAAAAGGTGGGAACATCATTTGTTCGATTAGCAGGTTATGAGTTAACATCATGTGACTAATCGATGTTTTAGTAAATCAAGTGAATCTCAAGCGCAGCTTATATTCTCAGTGTGACAACTCTCGTTATGATCGACATAATTAATTTTCAAAAATGATGTCATTTTAGTAAAGTTAATTGATAGAAAATAATTTGTGATTTATTCCGTGATTTTAAAAGTTAATGTTGATATTATTTGGTGGTTCAAGTATAAAAATTTGTGTGTAACGTTAAATATTATATTTAAATATGAGTATTTGTTATTTATTTCTAACACTCAAGTTACAGAGTAATTCTGAGAAAGAGGAATATGAAATCGACTAGAAGCATGAGGGGAAAGGAGTTGAAAGTGCATATCATCGCTAATCATAGCTGGAGTTTACGAGTCTAATCATGGGGATTTTCGCTTACTGATAGGGCAAAAGCGTAATGCCTCGATTCCTATCTTGTAGTAAACCGGAAATCTGGGTATCGTCTCTCAGGTAGTGATGGCAATTTCAACCCGCCCCGCGGGTATTACCCGACCTGACCCGCGATGGGGCGGGTATTACCCGACCCGCAGTAGTGTGGGGCGGGGCATGGGTATCTACTTCTGACCCGCCATGCCCCGCCCCGCCCCGCCCCGTTCTAGGCTCATTTTATCTCAATTTCTTACAATATCTATACATATTTCTCCTATTTTGACTTTTCTTTAACTAGTTAGAGTCGATCTTTCAACTTGTTAGGCTCAATTATCCATTCTCTATCAATATTTTTCATTCTTAAAGTGTTTTTCCCTACGTTTTATCGTAAAAAGTAAAATTTACTTGTATTTTTTTGAACAACATGTAAGAGTGAGTCGACCCGTCCCGCCTCGTACCCGTGCGGGTTTTACCCGCCCCGACCCGTAGTAGCATGGGGCGGGGCATGGGAATTGAGGTACCCGCCCCGCCCCGCCCCATTGCCATCACTACTCTCAGGGACTGGTACAACCTTAAGTTCTATCAATTTTATGAGCAAACTATAAGTGAAAATAGTTTAATGAGACTAATTTCTAAAAGCAAAATAAAATAAACAAATTAACTAAATGAAAACTGTCGGGAGAAATTCAATGGGGAAAGCTCTGGGAGAAACACCGGGACTCACTACCTATCATATCCAAATTAATTCACATATTCCAATCAGTTTAAGCCAATTCTCTACAGCCAGAATATCACTAATGTGCTAGCTATCCCTGTCGGGAATTACTACGTACTAAACAATTAAATCAAATCCTACTTTCGTAGCTCAATGACTTAATTATTTAGCCTGAAGATCGATATCCTATTTAAGACCGCATAGCACCTTATTTAATCCACTGTCGCTTCGATAAGTTACTATGTCACATGAAATATGTTCGGTCATTAGGGTTTCACTGTCGCTAATAACCTAATTAACTACACATCAATGTATTGGTGGCCAGTCAACACAAAGCATTAAGCAATTCCATGCAATAGAGATTGGAAGAAAAGAAATATGAATCAATCCATCAAATCAAGAAATAGCTACATCCTATGGTGTTTCCCCCAGAAATTGGGGTTTAGTTCATGATCAAACTAAGATAAAACAATATGATTTTGTGTTTAGTACAAATCAACAACAAACAAATAATTCGGACTAGAAAAAAATCCAACCAACCCACTTGTTCTTGTTGAAATCAGCTCGTGCCGCCCTGGAGAAGTTGATCGTCGATGCTGCTCTCGCCAATCGCCTGATCCTCTCGCCAATCGCTTCCTTCCTTCCTTTTTCTCCGAAATTCCGTCCCAGACCCCCCAATTAATTCCCTCCTGCCCCATACAACAAACTTGGGCCTGGTAAATGTAAATCCCTCGCAATTCCGTGTCCGCCCTGCTTCTGTTCTCCCCCGTGTCCAATTAATTGCCCCCCTCCGCCAAATATTTCCCTGTCCCCAAAATAATTCCCCATTAGAAATCCTTGTCCTCTTCTCCTTCTTAATTCCGCCCAGCTCTAGAGAAAGGAAATAGAATAGGCTTTGGCCCAATGCATGCTGCCTCTTCCTGCCCATTTAGGCCCACTGCTCCTCCTAGCCAAG